GCAAGTAAATGAATAATAAACGATAAATTGCTAAGTACGGTTAAACACCCTTCATCCCAAAAGACATGATTTATTTAGCAGTTTCTACTTTTATCTATTTTTATATAACATATAACCATCACCTATTCAACTTACAGTTTTCACTTTACACTACTATTTCCTAATTGGTTAGAATAACCCAAAAAAGAAGAATATCATCAAATCCTCTCTGTGCTAAACCTGCGATATACCTATCCATTTATTGCGGTGTGTCATGTACCGGCATGACCAACTAAACTTTACTTATATTTTTTACAGGCTTTTTTTATTACTTACTGACACGGAATCCATTCGTTAATCCATCATTTAAATCTTCCAAATCAATCAAAACTAATAATTATGTTAATAATTTTATATTTTAAAAATATTTCAATACATAACTTTTGACATTCTTATATTTTTCCGATCTTTGTCTTTAAAATATTCTACGGTCGTTAGGGAATTGAAAAATCGTTAATGTAACCCCTATTTGTCATTACTTTACGATATCAATACTTAAAATTAAAAAAATTACTGAATTCCGGTACTTATGTCCTACCAATATTTTTCTAGGTCAAACACCAATATCAGTACATTGTTTGACATATCTTGAGGTGTCCCCAAGCTTTATTTACACATGTTTTTATATTCCCAGTTCGTTGTTTCCTCGGGAATGTCCTTCAATTTAAATATTTTGAACAGTTTAAATAACGAAAAACCTCCAACCGAAAACTCTGAATATAAAACTGAAGCCCTACTTCTTATAAAAATATTCCTTTCGATTTGGTAACAATCGTAACGATGTTATAACAAAATAGATCATTATCTCATTCGCAATTTAGCACTTTACACAAAAATATAAAACAATAAAATCCTATTTTCGCATTACCTAAGCCTGTTTACATACTTATTTGTTTACAAAAATCTTATTAAAAACAACAAAAACAAATATCATGCAAAATACAAAAAGAAAACAGCAACAGAGAAGTTAAACGTTTCTGCACTCTCCTCTCTTTTATCAAAAAGCCGTGTTGTTTACTTTTTTGTTTTGTATCTTGCTTTGTTTGTTTTTAATTTCAAGAATACGTACGTGTGACTATTATTTCTATGTATTAGTAACAACTTTAAACGCTTATAGCTCCTAAAATTCTTAACCGAAATCATTAATAACTATATTGTGCACATCTGTGATCAAGTACCTTTAAAATGACATATTTTTTGCCAAGATCAGATGTATACTGTAAGAGTAAAAGGGGTCACAAAAAATCGTCTTGCCTATTAATTATATAGATATTACAGTACATATTCTTGTTAAATTCTGTCCCAATTAGTTAATAAATTATATTCGTTTTTTTAATATTGAATTCTGCACTAAAGCCCTGCACAAGACAACAATAATGCGACAATTTGTTAAAAAAAATATCGTGTGCGCAACTTAAGCACACAAAATTTTTTAGCAAATTGTCGCATTATTGTTGTCTTGTGCAGGCCTTTATTCTGTACTCAATCGATAGTACGACAGTGAGTATGATTAATATTAAATTAATACATCAATACTTATACGAGGTATATGACAAATAAATATTTTAAATTAAGAAAATTATTTTAATTAGTGACTTCAAAAACTCAATTGGAAATTTCTGAAATAAAATTACAAAATACTGAAACACAATTGAAATGGTGCATATCAATTTCATTTCTGTAATTTATCGTAATCAAGAATTTGTATGACCCTAATATGCAGCAGTATCATCATTATTTTAATATGATAAAAATCTAACACATCCGGTATTATGGGTGAAATAATTCTTATTGTTGTATGAACAAGAATACTACTACTGTGTATGTACGTGCAAATTAGAATTGTTGTCGAAATATAATTGTCACAGCAGTCTTAAATATTTGATTCCATTTCCGTTATGTCCTTTTCAAGCACGCATATACATACATGTACACATTCGCACTCCTTTCTCTGTCTCTCTCTCTTACAGTCTAACACAAACAATAAAAAGTTGACAACATTTACCAAATACTACTGCCAACCAGACCTGGGCGATTTCCATTAATTTTGCATTAACATTAAATTAAAAAAAAATTAATTTAATGTAAAAAATATTGCATTAACATTAAATTTTTAAAATTTAATGCATTAAATTTCCATTAACATTAAATATTTTTGAATTTAATGCATTAATTTTACATTAACATTAAATATTTTTCAAATTAATGCATTAATTTTGCATTAACATTAAATATATCTGAATTTAGTGCATTAATTTTACATTAACATTAAATAAGCAATAAAATTAATGCATTAATATTCCATTAACATTAATATATATAAAAATTGATAAACATAAATAAAAATACAGCTCAAAAGACCTCGATCTAACTAAACAACTAAAATTAAATAGGTTAAAGTCCTTTCTAATAACTCCTATATTCCATTCAAACTTGTGTGTTTTAAATATGATATTTATATAAGATTCCACAGACAAAATAAACTAGAAAAGGAATATCTGGGAAGTGATATTATTCTTCTAATATGTATTATCGAGTATAGGACTTATTAGAAAGAACTTTAACAAAATAAACTAAAAATGGAATATCTGGGAAGTGATACTATTCTTCTAATATGTATTATCGAGTATAGGACTTATTAGAAAGGACTTTAACACATTCAATTTTACTTGAATTTTGTTAGACCGAGGTCTTTAGCGCTGTATTCTTATTTTTATAAATTATTTTATACATTAATGTTAATGGAAAATTAATGCATTAATTTTATTATTTATTATTTAATGTTAATGGAAAATTAATGCATTAAATTCAAAAATATTTAATGTTAATATTTAATGTTATTTCGCTAATTTGTCAATTTTTTTTTAATTTTTCATATTTTATATAGGTTTTTTTCGTAGTCTAGTCTGTCAGTACGGAGGTCGCGGATTCGATAACTTTAGGTAGAATTTTAAATTGCTAATCATTTGTTAGTGTATGTGGCTAAAGAGAAATAAAAAAAGCTCAGAGTATAAAGTTTTGGTCTAAAATGAACTATATCTAATTAAATACAAGTATAAATTTTTTTAATTTTACATCAAAATGGATGATATTTATATCAAAAATCAGTCGATATAAATATTTTCTCAAATTGCTAAGAAAACTTATTTTGCAAATTAAAATTATCAAAAACAACACAGGTCTACAAATTTTTAACCCAGAAACAAAATATGTATACTTTTCTAAAGATTTGAGCTGTGCTGAATCCGGCCGTAGCATTTTAGATATTATGTCCTTAAAATCGAAAAACCCCCGATTTTGGCCATTTTTGGAACGTCATAAAAGCGCTAAGACATCTTCATTAATAAAATTTGTTGTGTCATCTGAAAGTCCAATTGTTTAACCTCTGCAAACTCAAAACGAAGTTTTTTAATTATGCCGGACTTGTAATATGTATATAAGCAATATGTATTTATGTGTATATGAGATAGCATTTTTTGTATATTAATTTGTGCCATATTGAGCTCAAGAAAATCACGCTTTCATATTAAATTTCCTGTTAAAGTGCTTAAATTCACTAAATAATGGTTTTACTTACTAAAGATACATTTTTCACAACATTTCCTATTAGAACTCTTATTAATTAAAACTATGTTTCCAATTAGATTGCCAACTTTTAATAGGTATTGTCGAAAAACGTAAAAATATAAACAAAAATAAATTTTCAACATGAATAGTCATCGAAAAAAAAACACACACATCACTAAAACTGAAACTCACCACATGTAAACAAACGAATGTCAACAAAACCAGCTGATTGTTGTTTTCATTTTTTTAATTTCTTTTATCCCGGCATATGAATTTAATAATATTTTTCAGTACAATTTAATTTGTATTGTTGCATTTAGTTTTAAAAAGAAATAGTTCTAATAATAAAATAAAAAGCATGTAATTAAAAAAAACACACAACAAATACGTAACTAAAGGAAATGTGCAAAAACAACATAGAACGCGGAATTTAATCAATGAGTGCTTGCTTCCCCTAGACAAGGTTAATCATACATGTTAAGTATTTTTATAATAAAACAATAATTATTTGAATTAAATAGAAATATGTATATGTGCATAAAGACACAACAAAATTTATGAAAAATTGCTTGCATTTACATATTTTGCACTTAGTATTGGCGCAAACACGTCATCATTTTATAAGGTCTACCACTAAATGCACGTTTGTAGAAATGTTTTCCTCTGTACACACACTGCTCGTAAAAGTTGCTGGCATAGCAATCATAACTACATACTTGGCATAATGATTTTGCCAAGAAGAGGAAAGACACATGTTTTGTTTCAACAGCATTTTAGTAAATTTATTTGCTTTTATTATTTGAATTTTGGTGATAGTACAATTATTACTCGTACATAAGGTGAGAAACACAAATGCGTTTTTAAACGCATTGCTGCCAAACAATAGAACATTTGTTCATTTTCTTTTCTTATACCCTACACAACTATAGTGGAAGCGTAATGAGTGGTTGTGCTGATGTTACTTTAAATCCATCTCGCTGTCTAGAAGGATCAATGTAAAGGTTGCTACATTTATATATCAAAAAAAATTAAATACCAGCATAGTTTTCTTTTACAAAAATAACTTTCATATCTACAGAAATATTGTGGTGATCTATAGGTCTTTCTAAAATTATTATTTGAACGTTGCAGGGCATCATAAGTCGAATAAGACCTACTATATTTATTCTTACTTATTTTATATTAGTGTCATAATTAATGAGCATTTGTTTATTTTTTATATACATATTTCGCTTCTTTTCGTTTGCAATTTATTTATGTATGCACCACACTTTTTTCAAATTAAAGGGCTAAAACATTATTAGCCGAAATATTTCGCATTTAGGTGATCTTGAGCATTTACGGTTAGTTGCACGTCGAAGGGAGTCGTCGTCGTTGTCGTATACGTACAGGTCTCAGTGTCTCGGCGAAAGTTGCAGCGTGCGGTCGCAATTATTATACACTAAAAATGTGTTTTAATTTTGTAACGGAAATATTTATTTGAAATTTTTTATTTATGAAATTAAAAGAAAGAAAAAAGATTGTGAAACTGTGATTTATAGGTGATCTAGATTTTGATAAATGCTCAAAAATATTTGCACGTATTTTAGAAGAAAATTAAAAATGAATACAAAATCTGTATGAATTTTTAACGCAAATAAATAGATTTCTGCAAAATAAAATTGATTAAACCAAAACGATATTAAATAACCTATATACAATTTTTAAGTGAAAAGAACTTAATTTCTTTAAAAATATATAACTAATTTTATTTATATATATAAACAGTTTAATAATTAAATGGATTAACTTAAAAAAGGTAAAACTTGCAATAAGAAAAAAAACAGATTTTATCGAAACTTTTTTAAATTTTTCGGATAAGAACAATTTTAGTTATAGGTATTAGAAGGTATTGTCGCTTATTGCTTAGGTTTTAAACTAAGACCTCGTAGACCCAACGAGGGATGGGTCAAAGATACAAAAAGTGGTACACTTTGTAATAAGTTAAAAAATGATTAAAAACGTTATTTAACTCCTTAAAAGTTCGTCTGATATCAATAAAATCGATCATGCTTAGAAAGCAGGTACTGTCGAGCTTAAGTTTTGAATTTGATCATCGTGGATTCACCGTGAAAACATTTTTCCACTTAACGGCTTATTTGATATCAATAAAATCGATTATGCTTAAAAAATGGGTATATGAAAAAAAATTAAAATACTACTCAAATCCAATTATTACAAAGTTCGAAAATTAGTCATCTTGATAAAAAAATTATTATTTATAAGAAAGAGAAAACTTTTTAAATTGTTTTAAAATTTAGGCTAAATAAGAAATTTCTTTTATTATCTTTTTAGATAAATACTAGAAAGCTATACAATCATCTATATACATTCCCTGACAAATTTTCAAATAATAATGTACAACTCCAAACAAATACATATGCCGAAAAGTATATATTAAAAGATGTCATTATTTTCTTATAAAATCATTATCTGCCAGTTAAAGAAACAAACAACAAAGTTATGAAATTATTTTATTATTATAATATACTGAAAAATCTGTAAATACTCGATAAAACTTAAGCTGCAGCTAAAAATAACCGAAAACAATAGATACCAATCAATAACAAAAGGAAGAAAAAAACTCAACCAGAAATTAAAATTCTAATCGACCTAAGAAAACTGTGTACATTAAATAAATGAATCAATCTTTTGCAAATCTACAAAGTCATTATTGCAGCAAACAGCAGAGAAGTGTATTAATGATTAAACACAACAGCTAAAAGAAATTTTATTCATATTTACAAAGCAAAAAAAAATGAAATAATTAAAATGCGTATATGGCTATGTATATGTTAGAAACAATGACCAACAGCTGTTGAATGTCTTTTTAATTTAAATAATTAAACAAGAAAAACTAGTGATCAACCAACGAAGCAACTAACAAACAAACATAATAAATAACAACTAGAACCAAACGTACGAACACAGCCAGCCAAACTATAACAATTAAAACTAAGCAACAACAATATATTTATATTACATACATACATTTAAATATAAGCTGCCAATTGCAATTTGTTGTTGCATACATATGTACATGCTTTCACCAACAACATTTCAAATGACGAATAGGCCCTCAACATCATCAACATTTACGAAATCTTCTTATACTATAAATAATTCATTTGTATTTTACTGCAATTACAACAGTTCTAGCGACACTAGCAAAAATTCCAACAACAACAACAACAACGGCAATATTAATAATATCAGCAACAAATTGTCAAAATTAATTAAATCATTGTGGTGGCTATTCTTGCAACATCATTGTGATTTTCTTAATATTTTACAAAAGCCCTCAAAGCAGCCTCTTCTACATAATTATTTTTTAAATACTACAGCAATTCAACAAGAGAAAAATAAAAATCTTAATACAATTAAAGCCGTTAATTTAAATTTACTTTTAACACCTTTCTTATTATTCGTTAACATCGTCGTATCTAACAACACAAAAACTAGCTGACTATGAATAAACGTACCGTTATAATTGTAGCTCTTGTGAGCGTCCTATGCTTGGGCATTGGTGGTAATTTTTATTTTATGTATTATTTAAATAATACCGAAGCACCATTATCCAGCACACGTGCCTTAGAGAATGTTATACGTTCAAAGATACGTCATCTGAAGCCAGCCTATTTAAATCGTAATCCTCGTTTCTTTATGTATCGCAATAAATTGTTGAAGAACTATAAGCCAGCGTCGTATGAAAATGCCTCTGTTTTATGGGATATTGCTAATTGGGTGAGTGAGTAAATGTAATTATGAAGGGATTTTAATTTAAAATAATTGATAATTTATATGCAGAGAGATTTGTTTTAATTGACCCTTTTTATGTACTGAGAATAGTAGATAAACCACTAAATAAACAGTTTCGTAGATTAGACAATAGACTAGTAAAGAGACTAGTGAATAGTCAACAGACATGTCCACTTACAAATCAATAGACCAATCAATAGTATAATCCACAAAGTAGCCAATAGAATAGTCTATAGATTAGTCAATAAACCAGTTCATATATTAGACAATGGACTATTTCATTGACTTATCTATAGGCTTCCCAGCAGTTCGACAAAGAGTCAATGCATACGTAAAAGAGAGTCATTTACACTAATGTATAACCACATGGTTCGACACCAACGTACTCTTCGTAAACGAGAGTGAAGACAGTCGTCACTTTACTGTGCCCTAGGTAAATGAGTGAGGGGACACTTAAAAATTGTTTTTCCATTGTACTTCAGAATGTAGAAAATAACAATTGTTATTTTCTACTAAAGTCTAACCAGTTGGTTTTACACTATTTGAATGTTTTTGGTCATGGATCTAACACAGTCGCCACTTTACTGTACACTAATTAAGCAAGAGAGTAGTAGTCGTCACTTAACTGTCCCCGAGTAAACGAGAGAAGGGACACTTGAAAAAACTTTAATCTAGAAATAAAAGTATATTTTTTTAAGTGTTTTTTATTGTTCAAAAGTTTTTAACCTACAGCAATACCTGTCCATTAGACAAGCTACTTGGGGACACTTGACTTTCCCCTAGTACACGTCAATAGCTAGTAAAGTAAATAGTAAAAGTGCTTGTAATGTGACTGACTCCAAAGAACCTATTTGGAGATTACCATCCATTGACTACTTTTGACTACCTCTTGACAGTTTCATTGCAGACTGTAGAGTGACGATTGACTTCCTCGTAGGACAAGCCCATGTTAAAATGGTTGATCACTTAGGTAGTCGGGTTGCCAAGTGGGTAGTTCGGGACTGTCCCGTCGAACTACTGGGTAGTTAATAAGCTAGTCTATAGACTAGTAAACACACAAGACCTTATACAAGTCAATACATTAGTGAATAGATTAGTTAATAGGCTAGTCCTTAGTCTTGTCAGTAGACTAGCCAATATATTTGTCCATTGTCTATACCCTTATAACTATACTAGTCAATAGACTAGCTTATAATCTAGCCAACAGACTAATCAGTGGACCTGTCTATAGATTAGTCAACATTCTAGTCAGACAAACAGACGGAGATAGCTTAATCGACTTAGAAATTGATTCTGATTGGTATACTTTAAAGTGTAGGACCAATATTTTTGGGTGTTACAAACATCAGCACAAACGCATAATACTATAGTGGTGTAGCGTATAATTATGTTATTTACGTACAGATATACATAAATATTTTTATACTTGCAGTGGCCTCATGAAAACGAAATATATCCACAATATGATTCATCAATGGGTCAACTACTGCAAACATTGCGTTTAGAACCAATTACAAAAGTTAGCAATTTGGCAAGGGGCACACAGCTAAAACTACTTGTACGTTTGTCGAATCAACAGAAAGTCATCTTTAAACCGCAATGGTATCCACGCGATATTGTGATCGAAGGTCCGGTCTATGGCGGTAAAGATCGTCATGTGGCCGAAGTGTATGCCTTTTATTTGGGTGCAGTTTTAGACTTTCGCTGGACTCCAATTGTAGTGGGGCGAGTAGTGAATTTAAAAACGGAGATTTATGAAAAAGGTGATACAGAATTACAAAATACCATGACCATAACGGAGGGTGAAAACGGTACCGAACAGTATTGTCTATTTGGCAAATGTCACTATTGCAATGAGGAGGAAACTGTATGTGCAGATGAAAATAATAATATTGAAGGTGTTTTAATTTACATAATCCCGGGTCAACTAGCCAAGAGGCGTTCACCCTGGCAGAGAACGTATAAAGAAGATAAAAGGGCACCTTGGGAAGATGACATGAACTACTGCAAGTAAGACCATAAAAATAGATAAAATGCTTACACATGTTCTTATGAACTTTATAATTTTAGGAGTTTAAAAGGCAAATTGGAGACTGAAAGACTTTTAGATTTAATCGATGTTGCCATATTTGACTATTTAATACAAAATGGTGATCGCCATCACTTTGAAACGCGCGAAGAACGTGTGGTGTTAATAGATAACGGTAAAGCATTTGGTAATCCCAACAAAGATCATTTGGATATATTGGCGCCTCTCTACCAATGCTGTTTGTAAGTTTTAAATCATTAGTTATTTAAAATTAAAAATAATTTCCATTAATTATTTTACAATTCATTAAAGATTACGTGCTTCCACCTGGGAACGTTTACAAGTGTTTTCGGGCGGCGTTCTTACGGAACTAGTCGATCGTTTAACAAAAGCCGATGCTTTATATCCATTAATAACAGACAAACATAAACGTGGCGTAGAACGACGTCTGTTAGTCGTATATGCGGTGGTTGAATACTGCATGGACCGTGAAGGTGAAAAGATGTTTAAGAATTTATAAAACTATAAATGCTCTACTTTCTTTCTTCCTTTATTTAAATTTAAGCATAACATATCAGTACTTTTTAAGTAACAGAAAAGACAATTATTTTAGAGCCTGATATTATTAGGTCCCCCACACTTCACTCTAAGTAAAATTTGCATATAAGATTTTAATGAAAATATTAACAAAGTGAAGTGCTTTATAAAGTAAGGCTTTTAATATTTCCCACAATATTAGGTTTTATAACTAATTCTTCTCTGTTTTAGATTTTTAATTATTTTAAGTAGTCAATTGTGTTAATAGGTTTTTAAGTATGCAGCACTATGGTTTAAATTCATTTTGTTAAGATATCATCATTCCTTTTGCTCTCTTGCCAAAAAACATGTATGTTTTTCATTTAATTTTACATCATACAAAATCTCCCATCCCTGACAACCGCTAACTTTGGCAAAAACAAAACTAAATTTGGTCTTTATGAATGAGCAAAATAAATATAACAACATACAACATATGATGTTATAGGCTTACATTTCATCTCATGTTCTTAATTTTGACATTCATTAAATTCTAAAGAATGACTAAATCATAGTAAGATACATAGTAAGACTTATCCAAAGGTTCTTTAATGAAATTATAATATAAATTTCAAAGAATCAATTATATTTACCTCAACATTCTGCCCAGAAATTAATTCCTTTGAAATCCTTAATTACCATCAAAGTCATCAGTGACTCATTATATGTATACATATCTTGATAATTTGAGTTATAAATACGACCTGCAATTCTTTGTTTTTTAATAATATTCCTTTGGGAAAATACGCTCAAACTATATTTGTTGTTTTTTTAAATTAAAATATTTATTTCAATATTTTTTAAGCTGTATAGAGATACATAAAATATATCAAAAGAGAAAAAAGAAAAAAATAATTTTAATCTAGTAATTGTGTTAATATAGTTAGACAAATTGTAAAATCATAATATAAAACCTCGACAAAAAAAAAACTTTAATTTAAATAGTTTATTTTTTATTCGCCTTTACATTAGAAAATGTAAATAGTTTATTAAATTTCTTGTTTTGAGCCTTGCTGGAGTTGCCCTGTAAACATAAAAAAGTAAAATAAATATATTTAAAAAAATCTATAACAATAATTTTATTAATATAAGTTTATATACCTTGCCATGAAATTGAGGTTTCAATTCTGTGCCTTTAGCTTTCTGAGCTCCTCCCTGGAATTTCTTAAAGTCCACCTTTTGATAATCGAAATTTGTTTGCACAGGTTTGTCAGACGATTGATAAGCTTTGCCAGAGTTTTGGAATTTTCCTTTCTTATTTTTATTTTTAAATTTATTTTTCGAAACTTGGCCATCAAGCGGACGTGAAGAGGTGGGTCTTTCTTCGGGTGGTCCATCCTCTACATCATCGTCTTCTACAACTTCTTGTTCGTCTTCATCGTCGGATATTGTAGTGGTAGAATTATCTTGGGGAGCTGGTCTTTTAAGTTGTTTTTGTTGTTTAAGTTCTTTTTTGGTTGGAGGCAAATTAACAAACTTCAATTTATCATCTGTTGGTGTTGTCGTCGTTATACTATTCTCTTCGGTTTTAATACGTTTAGCTGCAGCAGAATTTGCGGCTTTCTTAGCAACTGACTCTTCGTATTTACGTTTCAGCATTTCCCTGATAGGCATACTATACATGTCATCTTCCTTTTTGATATTAATGGCATCTTTAGAGTCTTTTTCGACTGGCATAAGAGTTGGTGCTTGTGGACATAATTGCCGTTTCTTATTTTCAGCATCTATGCGAGCTGCCTCTTCACGTTTCTCTTTTTCTACCATAGGCAAAACCGCCATATAACGCTGATAAGGTAAAAGTATTTTTTGTTTTTCAACAAGTTGATGACGTATCGTTTGTTCATCCTGGAATGAAAATTAAAATTTATGTTAATTTGTTTGCTAACTTTTAGAATTAAGAAGGTCTTCATTATTGCATATTATGTATATCTTAAAAAATTTCGAAATTTCAATAAAATTCAAATTGATTTGATTTCGATCAATTTGCCCCCCTGATAATATTTTACACACATTTTTCCATTATTCAAAGAATAAAAAAATATATTTAAACTTACCTCTTCGGAATTCTCTGGTGTATCGAATACACTTAGGACCGGCTTTTTAATCTTTGTTTTACCCAATGATTCGACATCGGTATTGAACTTGACACCTTTTTCCTTATCGAAACTAATCAAAGTTGGCAAATCATCTCTAAACTCTTCATGATGCGACAAATCGTGAGGACAATGTAATTTACTATTGTAATCTTTAACATTCGCATAAGCCACGCGGTGACTAGCTTCAGCTTCTAAAATTGGTTTAACCAAAGGTTGGTCACGAGCCTTTAAAATAATTTGATGAAGAGTGTGTAAATGTTGTCGTACCAATGGCGGTATGGGATTACAGCAAGCTAAAATACCTTGCATTTCACGTGGTAAACTTTCAGATATTTGTAACATCATGTGATTAGGTAAGACGTAGCCGTAACTTTCATCTTCCAAACGGGCTATGGTATCACGCCACTTAAATATTTCGCTATAAGCATATAGTTGACGATTGTCAAAGATTCTTTTTGATTTGCGATAAAGATCCATATGAGAATCGGCGTTAATTGTAGGTTTATTATAACGTTTTTTACAAATCTCGTTAGAGCGCTGGTAAATCGAGCGCAATAATTGTGGTTGTTGATGAGCTGCCTCCAAGAGATCATTGGTCAGACGCTCATAAATGTAGATGAGGAAATGTGTATCTTGTCTGGCATATGCCACCAGTTCTTGGGGTAAAGGTCGTATACGCCAATCGGCTAGTTGAAAAGTTTTATCGATTTCTATGTCACAATAATGTTTCATTAAGTATGCCAAGGATAGACGGGCAAAATTTAAAGCTTTCGCCGCCTGGTGAGTATCAAACATATTAACAATGTACAACGATAGATCGCGCTGCAGCCATTCAACATCCGAATCAGCACCGTGGAAGATTTTTACAATTTTCGGATTGGTAAAAACCTCATTGAGCAGTTGCATTTCTTCCCTCAATTCCAGAGCATCGAAAATATAGTCTTTAGTGCGGCTGGAAATCTGTACCAAACAAGTGAAACCCAGGAAAGTACGATAGGAATGATGTTCAACATCAATTGCTAATTCTGTAGCTGTTCGCAACTCTTCCAAAGCTTGTCTTAGCTTAGCAGGTGAATCAACATACATCAGTTCTGTTTGGGCAGTATCTTTTGGTTTTTGTGGTTGCCGCGGTTTCAACAAACTGTTGGGTGCTTCAAATTTCATTAACTCATATTCATAAGGATGTAGATAGCTGACCACATTGCCATGCTCATCGTATTCGGGCAAAATAGCCAAAGGTTTTAGAGAATTTGGTTTGTCCTTAATTTTGGGTACAAATGGTGTTTCGGCACTATTGTCCACTGGTATTTGGAATTTCACCTGTGGTCTGGCAATATTTTTGGCTGTAATCAATCTGGCAGCTATTGTAGGACTACTGTCATTATTTTTCAAATTCCAACTGCCAGCACCTTTGCCGGGAGTCGCTCCCGTTGATATGGAATTGAGGCGCGACTCTACTACTATGGTTTGTGGATTCTTTTTGATGCCAGCTAATTCATCTAGATTAGACTGCAGTCTCTCAAACATGACATCGTTGCACTCCAATAGCATTTCGAATTGTTCATCTGGCTGGCGGCGTTGTATGTTGCCCTTAACATTTTGCCACTTTAACACGTGCGATATAAGACCTAATATTCTATGCGATTGTTCATCGATAACACGTCCATAAGTAGGATAAGCACAATAAAGATCTCTAGAGGCTCCTTGAGGAAAGGCGTTGGCACATTTCGTGGCTTCTATAATTTCTGATAAACCTTTCTGCAATGAAAAAGAAATCTTAGAGTAATTGGGTTTTTTAGTTGAGAATTTTTCTTGCCTTAGTAAATTCTTCAATGCTTTTAAATTCTCCTATGGCAGTAGTTTTAGACTTTGTTTTATTTTTACCAGCTACGCTATTTGTTGGACTTTCATTGGTATCCATTATATTGTTATTAAAAATAAATATTCTTTAAGAAAACACAATTTTTTGTAGAAAAATTTACACAAAATGCTAACGGCGTGGTGGTGTATGTGAAATATAATTCTACATTGACAATGCTTGTTCTTGCTTGTTGTAAACACTGATCAAAACAAAGAAAACGATAACACATGTTGCAGAGTTGTACAATATTGTACCGAAAGCACCAAATTAAATCAGCGATTTTGGGAATCAATTAATATTATTTATTATTATAAAAGAAAGATCTGACCAATTTTTCATAATAAGAATCAAATTAAAATTTGTTTCTCAGACCACTTTTACAAAAAATTTAAACCCAAATAAAATAATAATAATTCCTTTTTTACTTCCTAAAATCGCTAAAATATTTTTTGTTGCTGGCTTCACTTTAAATTATCTTACAGAACGTAATGAAAAACATATGTTTGAAAAGTGTTTAACACTGAATATACCGCTTGCCATAAATTTAACTGTGCCGCTGTGTTTGTTGGCCTTGGAAATTTTTCATCATCAACGGAAAAATATTAGAAAAGGAGACATAAACTGTTTAAAATACAAGTAATTATTTTAATAAATTAAAATAACATAAATCTAAATTAAGTATTTTTAAGAATGAGTATATACAAAGACATTTTGGTGCGGTTTCCACGCGGTGGACTTTCTTACGTATTCGCCTATGGCTCTGGTGTTAAACAGCAAATTGGTTACGACCAAGTTGGAAAACAAAAAGACTGTGTCATCGATTTAGTATTTTGTGTACGCGATCCTTTAGGTTGGCACGCTGAAAATATAAGTCGCCATGAAAGCCACTACTCGGCCATGAGACACTTGGGACCCAAATTAATCATGAAATATCAAGAGAATTTAGGGGCTGGTGTATACTTTAATACCCTGGTACCGCTACCCGATTTAGGAGTACAAATAAAATATGGTGTCATATCAAAGGAACAAATGCTACAAGACTTACTCGAGTGGAGACATCTTTATATGGCAGGACGTTTGCACAAACCTGTGCAAGATATAGTACCAGCTGATGATGATAAAGAAATTAAAGCCGCCTTGGCCATGAATTTACGTAATGCTTTCCAAGTGGCTTTACTCTTATTGCCTGAAAGATTTACCACATTTGAATTGTTCCACACCATTTCTAGTCTAAGTTATAAGGGTGATTTTCGCATGATCTTTGGTGAGAATAAAAACAAAGTGGCGAATATTGTAAGGGCTCAAGAGAAGGACTTTTTCCAATTGTACGCCCCCGTCATGAAAGATTTATCCCAATATGTGGCTGTCGATTTTGCGGCTAAAGAAAAAGGTTCCGATCGTGTAGTAACCCAATTTGAACAGGACAAGTCTGAAAAGGCTTTGGAATATCATCTGCGCCAAGCACCGGCTGAATTAAGACGGCGTCTTATACGTAATGCTGCTTTCACCGGCAGTTATATAGACATTATACAGAATTTGGCTGCTCTGAAAAATCTCCATAAAATTGTACAAGTATCAGTAAATGATATTGTTTGGCGCAGTAGCATAAAACAATCGGTTAAGAATATACCCAGTGCCGGATTATTTAAATCGATTGTGTATAGTTATCGCAAAGCGTTGAAAACTTTTTCCCACTAAATTTTGTTGGGAAAGGGTCTTTGGAAAGTGCTCTAAGTCATCGTTCATAATGTTTTGTTGTTGTTTCAATAGTCGTAATGATGTTAGAAAAAGTTGCAATTTTTTATATTTTATAAAAATGTGTTAGATTCTGAAATATTTCAATTTTTTTAGGAAACTAATTTGTTAAAAAGTTATAATAATTATGGATTTAGAAGTAAGTCTTAAAACGTTGAACTGGTTTTTGCAGTCATTTTTCCTATCGTTTTTCTTTCAGATTCTTCAGATTGTGATTAGTTTATATAACAAATTTATGTTAAACGATTCTCGAAACATAAATTCAGAAAACGAAAGAATTGAATATGAACTACATATTTATAAATAAACACCAAAAATTAGATTAATCTAATGATAGCAAAAAAACTATACTTACACTTATTAAAGGCATTCATATTACAAAATGTTTAAGCCTTTCAGCAAAATGTTTGCTATTTACCAAGGTCAAAACTCTGGTGACGTGATTTCCGTAAATTAAAAATGACAAAATGAATGCATTTCAATAAATTATTGTCCTAAGTAGATCCTAATAGTTTAACTATTTTATCCTATAAGCTTTTAAAATAATTAACTATTGTTTATAATTCTCTTTATACAAATAGAGTAGTTGATTCCCTAATAATTGTAAAAATATTAAGACAAAATAATGCATTTCCGCACAATCTTAAAGTTTTCCTTTAAATTAACAATTAAAAAGCTTTATTAATAGTTTAACAATATAATTTTTTATTTTCTCTCTTTTTATAAAAAGTTGTTAAATAATAAAAAACAGTTGCAATAAATTAAGCCAATGTATATTTTGTAAAATTTATATATTATTTTAAATAAAAGAAAATATTCCTTATAAAACCAATAACTTATCAAGTGTTTTTCTTTTTAGTCTAATCATCAGTTCTTGCATTCACCACACAAATCACTTTAACACAACTTTTTTTGAACAAAAATGAGCAGTGAAACAGATTCTAGTAGTTCATCATCCTCATCATCATCCGAACAAGAACGGAAACGTAAATTACACAAAAAACTAAAGAAGAAATCTGAGAAAAAATCCAAAAAACATAAAAAAGAGAAAAAGAAAAAAAGTCACAAGGAGAAAAAACGTTCCCGCAAAGAAACAACAACTAGCTTTAGTGAAGAAGACAAAGTACCAAAACCAATATCACCTCAATTAGGACAAGAATTGAGTTTTAACAAAAATGAATTAGATGATGCATTTGGTCCCGCGCTTCCACCACATTTAATAAATAAAAATGATAAAGACAAAGCATTAGTTATAGGACCTATTATTCCAAAAGAGTTACTGGGAAATTTAGAACAATTGGATAAGCCGGATGTAGCAGATAAATTGCCTACATCTAGTGAATCAGAAGATGAAGAAGAAACACTGCAGGGCTCTTATGGACCTCTACCAGTGACCAATGAACGTGAAATGACTGCTGCCCAAATTGAGTTGGAACAACGGGCTTTAGAGTTAAAAATGGCTGCCATAGATGGCATGAATGTAACAACGACTGAACAAAATGTACGCGAAGAATGGATGTTGGAATTACCGGATGTGGGTTTAAAGGGTGGCTTAGCAGCATTAAACAATTTAAAACGTGGTTTCCATCAGGGCAAAGAGAAGCCTGACTTTAGCGATAGGTAATTAATTTAATATCAGCTAAAATAATATATTTAACTTATTAAGTTTTATTACCACAGATCTTCTTGGACTAAAACACCTCAAATGGGCATCGAAAAACAAAAACCTACAACTTCGAAAAGTTCCAAAGAAGAGCTGGAGCTACAAGCTCAAGCCTTGTATGAAAAACAACGAGATGCCGAACAAGAAGCCATGGCTAAAAAGCACAAAAAGAAACATAAACGTGAGGAGTCCTTGGTGGAGATACATCAAAAGAAATTACGCAAAGAGGAAAGACAAAAGGCCAAGGAATTAAAAGAGAGCGGTGCCAAACCCGAAAGGCGTCCCTTTACACGAGACGTTGATCTGAAATTAAACAAAATCGATCGTAATCAAACGAAACAAATTGTGGATAAAGCTAAAATCTTAAATACAAAATTTTCCAGTGGTCATTCAAAGTACCTTTAGTTACACGTACAATTTTCAACTTATAAATACATAAAAGGTTTTCATAGATATAACTTTTACCTTGTATTTTTGGCATTTTAGTTGATGCTATTTTATTTATAAGAATGTTTTCTGTGTTTATTTGTGAGCTCATAACTTAAAAATTATTTTGATGATAAATAAATTTTTCATATTTTTTTTTAATTTTCATACATATGTAAATGCTGTTAAATAAATTGTTTTAACGTTGAGGTGCTGGTTTTGGTTTAGGAATTTTAGCCAACAACATTTGTATTTCATCTTTTTCTTTCCAATCTTTCCATAGCTCAAATAAATTCACAATTGCTCGTACTATTTCTTGCACCTTATCGAGATCAACATTAAGTTCGGCAAACCACTGTTTCATAGAATCTTTTTGCAAAATAACACAGGCAATTTGTAAACATGCAATAGCAATCTGTAATAGCAAAAAGTGAAAAATATTAAACTAACTACATATACATATGTAGGTGCTATAATGTTAAAAGAGCTTTGAGTATAAAACTACTAGTTTTGGTAATTTCTGACCTCTTGGTGGTTCTGTGAGGTATATAGAATCTTTGGATTATTCTTTTTTGTTATAACTGAACAATCTGCAATATTTTGTTGCAAATAGTATCATTGATACTCCATTCAACATGTAAACTTGTAAAAAATTACATATTTTATATGACCTATCTCTTTTTTACCTGATATGGTGGATACAGCAGACAAACATCGGTCCTTAACGAATCATTAACAATACGCCAGCTCAATGTCAACAGTTGGTCCTCTTGACCCACATCTTGAACTAATTGCAAAAGTGGCCTATAAGGCTGATACACGATTAGACAACAATCCAGATTTTCCAACAAATAAAATTCGCACTCCAAAATATGATTTGTACGATAGGGAAAATCTTGGGTGTAAGCATAATTAAATTTGCTCTTTATAACTGATTGACAAATGGATATCAAGCGAGAATTTGAGATCACACCAAATTCTTCCACCTTCGACGCCAATAATATACAAGTGGGAGCCAGCAATAAAGGATCAATATTTTTCAATGAATTTCTTGCGTAGAAACGCTTAAAGTACACTGTGGCGGTGGCAATGACCTGTTGACGTAACTTTAATTGTTCGCCCAAAACTTGGATAACATTAGCGAAAAATATAAAAACTTTTTGATACTCCTCTTCGGTGAGCAATTGCAGGTCATATTGTCGTTCTCGTATAAGATCCTGGCGATCCAGAATCCATTGCTGAGAATGGGAACTTTGCCAAAAATTACCAGCCATCAAGAAATCGAAGGAAACTATCAGCAAATTTGTGTGAATAAAAATTATAATATTTTTCTGATTTTACTAATATGGTGAACAGGTGAAAATAATAATAGCGGCTGCTGTAAAAAATGTAAACAATTGAAAACGTAAAAAAAGACAGCAAAACACTGAACATACAACAAATGGATGTTGCCATATTGTTTGTTTTAAAAAATGTCAGCAATACTTAAACGATATTTAGTTATGTATAATAAATTTAATTCATCTTGTTTAGAATTCTATTACAAAAAACTTGAAACCTTTTTTGTTATGTTGTTCAAATTTTTATTACATAAAAACTTGATGCAATTTTTGTTATAAAAAGTATCAAGTTGAAAATTATAAATGATATATCCGGTCGCCAAGAAACTAACGGTCTACTAGCGATGCTAGATATCTGTTTGTGACCATCTGTTGATGTACGTCATTCAAGGAAAACGTATAGATACATTTATCTTACAGCCCATATGGCAAACTATAAAAACCCCTAGTTTAGTGGATTTATGGGTTTGAATCTAGGACTTCTTGGTATCTCATTCACAGAGACAACCTATGAGAGTAGGGCCTTCTCATGGATTTTTGACGAACGCAATTGCTTGCTTAAGTAGCAAAGCAGACCTTGGGATACATACTTATTATTATACCATTGATCTCAGCAGAATCACTAACATACACCCATAATAGAGCGCGATGTCTGTCTGGTGTGCCTTTCAGTGAAGCTCTTGTTGTCTCCAAACACTATGGTGGCCGAATATTTACAAGAAACAATTGTTAAGCCGCCTTTTATACAAATTTATAGCTTTGTAGAGAATGTCTTCACGGACCTAGAAGATATAGCCTGTCTAGGTATGTAGATGTTGTTTGGGCAAAATATTGGTACTAACCATTGTGGGCTTTATGTTGACTTTAGATCCCTTACAGTTGTCACACTATACCAAATAAAGCATTCTTGCTGGAATTAAAGTTTAAAACAAGTTTAATTCCAGTCAAACATTCAAATTTCAAGTGTTGAAATACACTTTCATTACACTTTAATTCAATAGCATTCTCCAGTGAAAAGGAAACTTGAATTCAAGTCGAACACTACAGTGTTTTTACAGTATAATTCAATGCACGAAATCTATATACATACGTATATAAAATTCTAACGTTACTGACTGACTGATTCATCATCGTAGAACCTAAACGGTTGAAGCTTAAGAGCTGAAATTTGGGCAGAATGTTAGACTCCCACCAAATGTATCCAATAAGACGGGATTTTTGGAAATTCGATTTTTTTGGAGGCTAAAAAAGGGTAAAAACGTAAATTCGGTAACCTCAAATCTCCTAAACTAGAAAAGTTACAAAAACAGTTAAAGCTTATCGTTGTTCATTTAATTAATTTTTTTCAATTTCGGCCCCTTTGGGGAATAAACGGGTAAAAACTGTAATTTGGTACTTCTTTTGCACCCCATGTATCTTTTAAACCAGAGAACATTAAAAAAATATTTTTGAATCCTTCATAACTTGACGAACAAATAAAAATATGAATTTAGTTCTTTTTGGATATTCGGACGTTTAAGGGGTGAAAATTGTACCTATTTTTTTATAAAACATTGTTTTTTTATAAAGCATTGTTTTTGGTTTATTAACTTATACATATGAATACATAATAACGGACTCCCAATACGATGTTGCAAATTTTTGGAACAGAATTTTTATTTCGTTAATGGGGAGGAAAAAAGTACCAAAAGGGGTAAAAACGGGAAATTTGATTTTATTCAAGAAACACTAAATATGCTAATGGGATGTTATTTGGAACACAGGTACCAAGTGATATTTTTTGGTACTTTTTCATTCTCCAACTGGTACTTTTTGAGTTTTTTATGATATTGAAATCGAAACATGAAATTAATAATTAAGGGACTTTTCGGAACTTTTTGGTTCTACAAAGGTACTTTTTGAGTTTTCTATAAAATTTAACCTAGAAACATGAAATTAAGCAAGGAGTAAATGAGATTCTATAAAATGGGACTTATTGGTACTTTATCGTACTTCGACTGGTACTTTTTTGACTTAGAACTTAGAAACATGTAATTAAGCACTTGAGAATCTAAAAAGTGGACTTTTTGGTACTTTTTCGTTCTTCAAAAGGAAATTTTTGAATTTTCTATAATATTAAACCTAGAAACATGAAAGCGTGTAGAGTCCCGATTAAGTGAGAACCTGTAAAAGAGGACTTTTTGGTTCTTCAAAAGGTACATTTTAAGTTTTTGTATAATAATGAACCTAGAAACGTGAAATTAGGCATGTAGAGCACGGATTAAGTGAGGTCCTATAAAAGGGGACTTTTTGGTACTTTCTGAGTTTTCTATTAAATTTAACATAGAAACATGAAATTATGCACGTAGAGCCCGGAGTAAATGAGAATCTATAAAATGGCACTTTTTGGTACTTTTTCGTTCTTTGACTGGTACTTTTTGAGCTTGCTACAAAATTTGAACCTCGAAACATGAAATTAAGCACTTAGAGTCTGGAGTAAATGAAAATCTATAAAAGGGGAACTTTATCGTACTTCGACTGGTACTTTTTGAGTTTTCCATAAAATTAAACCTAGAAACATAAAAATAAATATGTAGAGCCCGGAGTAAATTATAATCTATAAAAAGGTACTTTTTCGTTCTTCGACTGCTACTTTTTCAAGTTTTTATAGTATTGAACCTAGAAACATGAAATTAAGAATGTACAGCCCGGATTAAGTGATAACATATAAAAGGGGACTTTTTGGTACTTTTTCGTTCTTCAAAAGGTATTTTTTGAATTTTCTATAATATTGAACCTATAGACATGAAATTAAACCTGTAGGGCATGGAGTAAGTTAGAACATATAAAACGGGATTTTTTGGTACTTTTTCGTTCTTCAACTGGTTCTATTTGAATTTTCTATTATAATGAACCTAAAAACATAAAACTAAGCAATCAGGGACTTGAGTGATTGAAAATTTAAACTGGAGTATTTCTGGTAATTTTTCGTTCTTTAACTGGTACTTTTTGAATTTTCTAAAATATTGAATATATAAACATAAAATTAAATACGCAGTATCCTAATTGAACGAAAATTTATCTCGTCCATTTTGCAAAAAGGGCTCGATATCAATCGAAATCTCAATAGGCCATAATTGACCCTGCCCCCTTCAATAATTGATTTTAACGTTTTCCACGTACTTAACATAATAAAACAATTTTTGTTGGAACGAAAATATGTAATGTAAATATGTATATGAAATCTTCTTCAGAAAATGACTTAAACGCACATAAATGGCTTTCAAATGTCGATGTCGCCGAAAAAAACATTTTTAGGAACCGAAACCTACATTTATGAAAAATAAAATTATGCGGATCGGTCCGCCAATATAACCCTCTTACAGAAAATCAGTTTATAGCTAGTACATCATTCCAAAAGTTATCATTATGATAGAATAAAAAAAAATACTTTAAATTATAGAGAACTTTGTCCATAATTGACCCAATTCCACATTTAAGTCCCTAATCCGAAAATCACAGTGACGTTCTTATTAATCTAATGATCAAAGTCCATATATATATGTATATGACCACTTCCGAAATTTGCTTTTTTACGACAAATGATTTTACTCCTTACTTATTTTAATCATAAAGAAATTACCGCTAAAATAAGAATAGTCTGCCTTTAGAGTTGCGAGTTTTCATACACTCTAATAATGTTTTCAAAGTGAAACTTTTGGAATATTTTTCAATCTCTTTGTGATCCCTTTAAATGATGTTGTTGTAGAAGAACTTTAACATCCATGTAAACATTTTGGGTAATAAATTGGGGGACTACCAATGAGGGGAGCGGAACCTCCCATATGAATTAAATACAAAAATTCGTTTATCTGGGAAACTAATAGAACTAAATTCTTCAAATTATGCACGAAGAACTTTAATATTCATCTGAACATTTTGGAGAAAAAAGGGCGTACTTTCATTTGGGGGGCTTGGAGCTGCCATATGAACTAAATAGAAAAATTCGTATATCAAATTTTACTGAAGAACATTTAGATAAATTGCAATAATTTGCGTGGAATCTCCCATATGTAACAAATTGTATATCTGGAAAACCATTGTAGTTAGAATCATCAAAATCGTTAAGTGGGTTTCTTATTTATATTGCTTTTAGGATAGCACAGCACACTGGGTATAGATAGTAAATAAACAAATAAAATATCTTTGTTTTTACGTTTTATATGGAGGATAGGGTTAAATATCGGCAGATCCTCGTAAAACTTGGAGAAAGGATTTGTTTTTGATTTTTAAGAATTTTTTATTCATCCCTGCATAATTTCTCACACAACTTTTGAGATTGCTCTGTTTTGTTGTTATAAACAATATATTTGCTTCCAAAATCCCACTTTCTGATCTCTCGAATTCCGTTTTTATTTAAAATCGTTGAAAATTTAAAAACTAGACGTAGTTAAAAATTTAGCCGGCTTACACTCGATTTTAAGCCGCCGCCGACATATTTAGTGTCAGTCGCCGCCGTCGTTAATATTTGTCGGCGCAGGGCTTTGCTTTTCATACGAAGAAATTTTTTCTTTCAAAACCACCTTCAGTGGGCCCCCTTTTACGAGAGTATTTTGTAATTTTTAAGTGTACAAATAAATTTTAAATAAATAATCCTTACACAATGGCTATGCGTGTGCTTGGCATTTCGCAAAATTTGCGTCAACTCTCCAAAGGAGTCAATGTTTTGAAGGTATTCCAAAAAACATGTCGAAAAATTAAAAGATTTTCATCATCATATGAATAGATTACGGCACCGTGTTAAGAATTTTTCTTGTATAATTACGTAATGGAAAAGTGTAATATAACATACAAATTACAATATTTTGCAAAGTTTAATGAGTTTAAAGTGTGGAAAATAAGTTTTCTTTTAAAAAAATTATTATAGTAATAATTTCCGACTTTTAAAAATATGCAATTGAAATAAATGAGCTTGGAAAAAGTTGAGGTTAGGTTGAAAGTGATGGAATTAATTTGTGTTTTAACTTGCAGCGCTACAAGGCTTCTGACGCCGCTAGCTTGAAAAAGACTCTCGTCAACATCCCTGCCACTCAGGTCACCACTTTGGACAACAGTTTGCGTGTGGCCAGTGAAGATTCGGGTGCGTCAACTGCCACCGTGGGTCTATGGATTGATGCTGGTTCTCGCTCCGAGACCCCACAAAACAATGGTGTAGCTCACTTCTTGGAACATATGGCTTTTAAGGTACACTAGAGAATTTCTTATTAATATTTGCCTCTAATTCTGTGATATTACTTATTTGCAGGGCACTGCCAAGCGCTCCCAAACTGATTTGGAGTTGGAAGTTGAAAATATGGGCGCTCACTTGAATGCATACACATCCCGCGAACAGACTGTATTCTATGCCAAGTGTTTGTCCAAGGATGTACCCAAGGCTGTTGAGATCTTGGCTGATATCATTCAAAACTCCAAATTGGGTGAATCCGAAATTGAACGTGAACGCTCTGTAATTTTGCGTGAAATGCAAGAAGTTGAAAGCAACTTGCAAGAAGTAGTCTTCGATCATTTGCATGCCACCGCCTACCAAGGTACCCCCTTGGGACAAACTATTTTGGGACCCACTAAGAACATCAAGTGAGTATAATGTGTAAAGCATTTGTAATTTTTCTTTTTTTGTAAAAAATATTTCTTTGGCTTAAAGGTCTATTGGTAAAGCTGATTTGCAAAGCTACATTAGCACCCACTACAAGGCTTCCCGCATTATCTTGGCCGGTGCTGGCGGTGTTAAGCACAACGACTTGGTTAAGTTGGCTGAACAACACTTGGGTAAATTGGAAAACACCTATGATGGTAAGCCACCAGAGGTTACTCCCTGCCGCTTCACCGGCTCTGAAGTTCGTGTACGTGACGATTCCTTGCCCTTGGCCCACATTGCCATTGCCGTCGAAGGTTGCGGTTGGACCGATCAAGATAACATTCCCTTGATGGTTGCCAATACTCTTATTGGTGCCTGGGATCGCTCTCAAGGTGGTGGTATCAACAACGCCTCCAACTTGGCTCGTGCCAGTGCTGAAGACAGTAAGTTATTAATGGCTTATTAGTCTTTAAATAATTGAGTTGATTTTTATTTCATCTGTCTAGATTTATGCCACAGCTTCCAATCCTTCAACACCTGCTACAAGGATACCGGTTTGTGGGGCATTTACTTCGTGTGCGACCCCATGGAGTGCGAAAACATGCTTTTCAACATCCAAACCGAATGGATGCGCTTGTGCACCATGGTTACTGAAGCTGAAGTTGAACGTGCCAAGAACTTGTTGAAGACCAACATGTTGTTGCAACTCGATGGAACCACTCCCATCTGTGAAGATATCGGCCGTCAAATGCTCTGCTACAACCGTCGCATTCCTTTGCACGAACTTGAACAACGTATTGATGCCGTCGATGTACAAAACGTACGTGATGTTGCCATGAAATACATCTATGACAGATGCCCTGCCGTTGCTGCTGTTGGTCCCGTCGAAAACCTTCCCGACTACAACAGAATCCGTTCATCCATGTACTGGTTGAGAGTTTAAGTTACAAGATGTGATTGTTCAAAGAGAAAGAGTGACAGGAGAATACTATGTTGAGCGAGAGAGTTAAATTTCGAAACGAAATTTTGCGAAAATAACAAAAAATATGTAGAAGTTTAGTTTAATATTAAATAAAATACACAAAGAAACATCTTAAAAAAGTATAACTTGTTATTGCTTAAACCAAAAAATATCCTAAAAAACAAGCCATTGTCATGAGCTTAATTTGCAATTATTATATTAACATGCTCTATCAACAAAGATATAATCTAATCACAATTTTCAATTAAAATAAATAATTTAAAATATTAACTTTAACTGATTCACTTTTGATATTTATATGTTCATAAGGAATTTTCTAAACAAAATAACAGATTAGGTTAATTTTTAAAGAGTTTGGTTCTTCATAATGATGTTCAACTCGGATTGTAGTTTGACAAAAATATCTGATTTTTCATAAGGCCAATTCCAATAATAATTGGATTCTATGACACCACAAAATATTTATTGAGATCAAAAATTAATAACAAAAAAATAGAAAATATTTGAAACTAATTTGTAGAAAATATTCGTATGTAATTTAAGTCTTTCCAAGAAAATGCACAAATAATTTAATCATGAGAGTACTTAATTGGAATTCCACTAAGACCCTTTTGAAGTTTAGCTGGCTCGGTTTGACCAAGTGCTGGATCTAGACCTTGCCAAGTGCGGTCTTCGAACGTTAAACCTGTATTGGTGGTCATCACTTCCATTCTTGGCTGTGCTACTAAGGCCTGTTGTTGTTCGCTCAGAATTGATAAATTGGCCACTTCAACGTCATTACCATTGGTGCCATTCGTGCAATTACGTAAACGTCCAGTCAATAAACTTATATCATCTAGATTTATATTATTTGCATTGAATTCCAGAAAACTTTTTCCCTCTGGTAACAGTTGTTTGAAATCGGTAACATATGATGCAGGATAGCGCATGTGCCAGGCAGGATTTAAAGCCATTTCAGCTTCAAAAACCGATACCACTGGTTTATAGAATTCTTTGGACTCAAACATATTATTAAAAGCACAACCAATTAGAACGAAACAATCAATTTCTAAGAAATTTGCCAATTTAGCTGGATTAATACGACCTACAGAAATTATCTGCGTCTTGATACCACGAGATTTTGCCATCATTTGTAAACGTTTAACCACATCTAAATAACCATCTGCCGTAAGTGTGGCAACAATTAAGCCCAAAGTTACGGCATCTTTGCATTTTTCTATATAATAATAACGACGTCGTATATAGTTGGCAGTTAATGGATTTTTCTCACTGCCTCTGCCGGAGGAAGCTTCATATATAAACCATTTTGCTGCCTTTGAACTCAGAGATAAATTGAAAAATCGTTGATTGTCACCACCTACAAACAAACATAAACGCGTCTCATCTAATTCATTGACATGTTTGGCATAATCATCGAACATGGTGCTAATTTCACCACTTTCCAACAGTTTTCCAAATGTATTGCCACAATAGCAGACAATGTACACTTCTTTTGCCTCAAAGCCCTTTAATATATTTTTGAATTCCTCATTGGATTCATCGAAAATATGATGATAACCTATATCGAAATAAATGGTTACAATGTGGTCTTTAGCATTTTGACCAAATATTGCCAAGTAATCATAAAGTTTTGTCAATTCAATTTCAAATTGTGGAAAAGAATAGTAGACTGGCAGGCGAGACACTTTACTGCGACACGCATTGCCAAAATGTACCACACTGTCGGCATCAACGTGGGCAGCGGCAATCTAAACAAGTTTTATGAAATTTCGAAATCTATTAATGATAATTTATCGAGCTGACCTTTGAAACCTACCTCGTCCACACAACAGCTACCATAAGATGTATCGGCCAATATGAAGACTTTGAAGTCTTTGTCACCCTCCAGAGAGGTCACTACAGCCTTCTTAATATTTGTGGCAATGGCATCGCTGTGCTTTAAATAACTATCGGGAAATTGTAAGCAAACCTTAAAAAAATATGTACATATATATCGTAATCGTTAATAGTGAAAACATATGCAAACAAATTTTTGGCACTTACTCTTTTGTAACCATTTTTGCGAATCCATTCGATGCAATTTTTACTTTGTTCCTCATTCCAAATTTGTTCAAAAGTTACTTCTGCCTCGTCTGTTCTTTCGGTCTCTCTTTCTAGTGCCGCTGTTTCCGAACTGGAAAATGCTGAAGCTGTAGTCGACATTGTGTTTTATATTTTTTCCTTTTAATATTTTTTTTACTTTCAACTTTTAACTATATTTATTTTTGTTTTATTACTTTTCTTTGTTATTTACAAAATAAATCAACCGATCACGTAAACCCTGTCAGTGATGGGACGTTGTGCACAACAAGAACTTATAATACCTATACAGTGTAAATAACTAAAATGTTTACAAAAAGTACTAAATTTCACAGTTTATTCATAATATGCTGGCTTGATTCAGAATACGATTTGTTCCAAAGTTGAAGATGTGGTCCAAAGATAGTGACCACAGAAAGCCGTAGTCACAATCTAAACCAAAATTTACGGGTACAGAAACGTACATTATATGAAGCAAAACATAATATTGTTTATACATGTTATTTATCGTAAAAGTTTTATTTTAAGTGCAATTAATGGGATCCCTCTTATTTTAATTAACATCATTGCAGGATATTGACAGAAATATGAAATGTACGGCAATAAAATAAACTTTTAGAAATGCCATCACAGCTCCATGAAGTGAATTTACCACGAAACGTAACATAGAGTTGCCAATTAACAGAAGGAATTAATGGTGAATTACCAATGAAATTCAACAAAAAAGCTGTTAACATACAAAATTCATCTAAAATTATAATTTGAGTTATAAAACAACTAAATATTAGATCTGTTCGCGTACTTTCCAGTGAAAAATATCCAGTAACTTTATGATAGAGAACGCAAATTTGTAAAAAAAAATTGCATGTTTTTGTTTATAAACAAAGATTAGTAATGCCCTTTTGCTGAAATCTCTAACAAAACAGCAAAAAAAAACAAACAATCGAAACTATGATTTTTCTTTATTTAAAGTTAACAAAACATGTAATATCATTACAAATCTATTATTGTGTTAAAACTTCATGTTGCAAACATGTTAGTAAAATAAAAATTTACACAAAATCGCTAAGAGAAAGACAAACAAAGTGATTTTAAAAACGCTAGATTGACAATATTTGTTATGATTTTTCACAAAAAACAAACTCTTTTAAAAACTAATTTATGATAAATAAAATTATAATAAATCTAATTACAAAAAATTCTTTAATATTCGTGTGTTATTTAAATATTTCTTTAAAAAAATTTAAAATTTACCGATTTAGCGCTAAAGTCATTTTCAGATGGGGACCTTAAATAGGGGGTAGGAACAATTATGGACCGATCCCACAGAATTTTGTAGAGAGATATTAGCTTACACAAAACTAGTTTATGTCGAATTTCATAAATCTACTAGTATTTTTAAGTACTGAGTTTTAAAGTCATTTTCTGAAGGGGCCTTATATGGGGGTAGGGTCAATTATAGACCGATCCTCGTACAATTTTGTAGAACGATCTTGGTGTCTACAAGTTATGTTTATATCGAATTTCATCGCTTTACTCGTTTTTTTTAGCCCAGTAATTAATTTTCTGATAGGGACCTTATATGGGGGTAGGGTCAATTAAGGCCCGATCCACATAAAATTTGGTTAAGAGATTTTGGCTAGCAAGGAACTTAATTGAGTCGAATTTCATTACTATACTCGTATTTTTAAGCCAGTAATGGGCCTTAAAGTATTTTTCTGATGGGGACCTTATCTGGGGGGTAGAGTCAATTAAGGCCTCTTCCACATAAAATTTGGTAAAGAGATTTTGGCTTGTGAAGAACTTACTTCTGTGAAATTTCATCGCTATACTCGTATTTTTAAGGCATTAATGAGCGTTAAAGTAATTTTATGAAGGGGACCTTATATGGCGGGTAGGGTCAATTATAGACCGATCCACATAAAATTTGGTGGAAAGGTTTTGGCACCTAAGATACTTACTTATGTCAAATTTCTTCGCTATATTCGTATTTTTACGCCCATAATTAACGTTAAAGTCGTTTTCTGAAGGGGACCTTATATGGGGGGTAGGGTCAATTATGGACCGATCCACATAAAATTTGGTAAATGTTGACTCGTATAAATCTTACTTCTGTGAAATTTCATTGCTATAATCCTATTTTTAAGCCAGTAATGGGCATTAAACTAATTTTATGGGGGGACTTTATATGGGGGGTAGGGACAATTATGGACCGATCCACATAAAATTTGGTAGAGAGATTTTGATTCGTATAAAACTTACTTCTGTGAAATTTCATCGCTATACTCGTTTTTTGAAACCAGCTTTAAAGTAATTTTATGGAGGGGACCTTATATGGGGGGTAGGGTCAATTATGGACCGATCCACATAAAATTTCATAGAGAGGTTTTGGCTACTAAGACACTTACTTATGTCAAATTTCATCGCTATACTCGTTTGTTTAAGCCAGTAATGAGCGTTAAAGTCATTTTCTGAAGGGGACCTTATATGGGGGGTAAGGTCAATTATGGACCGATCCACATAAAATTTCATAGAGAGGTTTTGGCTAGTAAGACACTTAGTTAGTTAGTTAGTTAGTTTGAAAGGAGGATGTATATACATCAAATCCGAAGAAATACACCTAGGCCTCTATCGGGCCTGTTGTGCGCTCCTTAACCAGTGCCTCAGGTGGGAATCGAACCCACCACCTCCGGTCTACCAGTCTAGAACACTAACCACTAACCTACCGGAGGCCAGTAAGACACTTACTTATGTCAAATTTCATCGCTATACTTGTATTTTTAAGCGAGTAATCAGCGTTAAAGTCATTTTCTGAAGGGGACGTTATATGGGGGGTAGGGTCAATTATGGACCGATCCACATAAAATTTGGTGGAGAGATATTGGCTTGCTTTAAACTTATGGGTGTCAAATTTTATACCAATATTCATATTTTTAAGTCACTAATCAGTATTATAGTCATTTTCTAAAGGGCACCTTATATGGGGGTAGGTCCAATTATGGTCCTATGTCCGTCATAATTTAGAATTTAATTTCGGAAG